GAATAGTGTGGTTCAGAATAAGTGAAGTAAAGGAAATTTCCAAACGAAGAATGGTGTGTGTGTAGACCCAGAGATGGTGGTGCATGTGGCCCTTGGGCACAACTGAGAGGCAGCAGAGCAGGGGAGAGAAGAGAGTAGATGGGAGCCCGAGGCCACCTGGCCTTGTACACCTGTAAAGATTCGGGACATGAGAAAGAATTGGAGTGTTTTTAAGCAGGTGACTGACAATTAATTTAGGGGTTTTAAAACTCAAATATCTTACACTGAATACGAATGTAAAAAATAATATAACCAATGATTTCAGTGTCATCAAATTCTTGTTGAGTATGCACAGGCTAAACACATCAGGAATGTTCTATAGGAATGGAGAAAGGGGCCAAAGCACAGCCCAAATATTTCATGTGTGTTGTCAGTAAATAACTAAATAATCCTAATCCCTCAAGAATTAAAGCATCTGTGCTAAAATCAGCGAGGCAGCCTGATAAATGGGAGAGTGCTTGTGTCACGGTGCTTCTGCCTGTTTTACGGATCACATATAAATACGAGCGGCAGCAGTGCCGACATTGGCAGGCATAAACTGAAAAGTAGCAAAATATTTTAGAAATAGGGCAGAGAAATAAATACTTGACGTCACTCATTAGCCAGGTTAATAAAGAAATGCTCCCCGAATCTGATGATAGTGCCCAAAGAGAAGGATTACATAACAGATGTGTTGGAATGATGGTAAGCAAATACCACACTAAAAAATCAGACACTTGGGCGTATTTAATTTGGACACATGCTAACTGTCAATACAGCGCCTTCAAGGAATGAGCATAACAAAGAACCTAATAAATTAATGTGGGGCTCCTCGCTTTATGTAAATGTAAGATCAATAGTAAAAACAGAATATAAAGGGGAAGAAGGGGCAAAACCTCCAGTGACAGCAGAACTTAATATGGTTACTGATGCTTGTTTCAGTGTGTGTCTATGCAGATCACTAATTCACATACAGCTCCTGGTAAAGCATTAAATTTGTTTTCTGTGGCATGGTCTGATTCTCTAAGAACCTGAAGAGTTTCTTTGAGAGAGAAGTAGCAGCCCAGTCTAGCTCAGCTGTACTCAATCTCAGTTGCTTCCCTACCTACAAACCCTCACTTCAAAGCAAGGAACATAATGTACAATTTTTTAATGGCTCTAGACCCAGGCACTCAGACTCTCTGCTCTGCGCCTTACCTCAGTGTAAACACCTAATCAAGATTGCCTGCGCTTCAACAATAGCAGCCAAATGCAATTCGAGAACCACAAGCCTTTGAAGTCCTCCCTGCAAAGGCCGGTTTTCTAGTCTGGGATAATGACATGCCATGATTGCTGTCTTTGTTGTATCTTTTCAGTAGAGAAGCAATTATAGGCCCCAATTTAACAGAATAGACATTACACAGCTTATGATGCTCAAAATGCAATTTCATTTGATCATTTTCTCGATTTGATTGGTATTAATAGAATAGTTCACAAAAAAAAAAAAATAGCTGGCAGAGGTTGTGTCCCATTCCACTTTCAAAGAGATAATGTAGAAGTATTCTTTACTTGCCCGGTGAGTCTCGCTGGGGTGATTCAGCCACCGAGTTCCACCAAAAGAGCCTGTGGAAGGGAATATTGCACATCCTTCCTTCTCTGGGAAAGGAAGCAGCAGACTCTGTGTTTTTAACATGTAAACTTTTCATCAGAACCACATCAGAGAACCCATCATTGTCTATAGAGCAATTAAATATCCCAGTGATAAGCTGAAAGAACTAAACCCAAGTCCCCTTTATTTCTTAGGCATTTACACAAATCGGTGAATTGGCATCCTAGTGACAGATCTGTGGAACTGTTCAGCTTCTTGCTCACAGCTTCCAGAGATAGTTCACTGCCACTTGAGGTTGGAGAAGGATTACTTTCTCACCGACTTAGTCAGCCTGGTCAGATTTTTTTTTTTTACTCTCTTGACCTTCATTTCTCCTCCAGGACACGGTTGATTTTTCTTTCTTAAATGAGTGAGCTTTCTATTTAACATTGTGGTACTAATGGATCAAAACCTTTGTAAAAGCACCAGCAAATGTTGTAAAAACTAACCTTTTCCTGTCATTGGGTATTTCTGAACTAGCACTGTGAGAAGGACCAAGATGGAAACTTAAGAAATGGTACCTGACCTTGAGCGGCAGCATTTATTGTCCTAAACTTTTTGTTTCAGTGCAAATTAAACTTTTTCTTGATGTGAGGTTTCCCATTTGCAGAGGAAGTTAATCATTGAAACCAATACTTCCATATAAATGGTAAATAGATAAGGCTGGTGATGGTGTAGATTTTTAAATACCGAAAGGTTGATAAAAAGTGGGAAGAATAAGAAGAAAACATTTTACTTTCACTTTTAATCAGAATTCCATGACCAAATAGTGCATTTTTGTGGCTTATTTTAGGAATGAAAATTCAAGGAAAAACTATTTTTTCCCCACTTTCAGATCTACCGTTAAGCTTCTAAGCATCCACAGCACCGAGAGCCACCTTATCTATTTACAGCGTGTATGTAAGCACAGTAATTGTGATAGCTATTTAATAGTAGAGAGAGTTTAGGGACAGATAAGGTGACACTCCGAAGAAATAAGATGTTGTCCCTTGTGCCACAGAGGCCACATAGAGTGGTCAGGAATGAGGTTATCTTCATTGACAAATATTTACTTTGATTTAATATTTAACAAATATTTTTTACCTCTTTCTTTATTGAGTGCTGTACTTTGTAAGCATGAGGTGAAAGTAAGCTGCAGGGGGGGAATTTGAACACAAGGCTGACAGACTCCACATCCCCTGCTCTTTCCAGTCTCACTGCTGGTCTCTTGTCACGCTAGGCAGCCCAGCAGAGGAAATGTAACAGAACAGCATCAAAGCCTGGAGCCAAACTTAAGAATTAATTACCTCAGTCCAGAAAAGCAGAGACTTGACAGCATTTACAGGCAAAGAACCAGAGAATGGCCACTCTGTGCTTCTCCAAAGAACAGAGGGACAGAAAATACGGAAAGATGTATTTCTGCTTGTGTAAGGAAGAGCCGGCGTTTGGGTTGCTCAGTGAATACTGTGTTCATCCTGAATGAAGCAGAGGTCCCTTTCTCTTCCCTAACCCATGGTTGATCTTTAAACATGTCCTAGTCATGAAAAGTGGGTAATGCCGCCAGGAGATAAGGCATGTATTGAGGCAGAAAGTGGATGACATCTACCAGGGTTGGTGTGGTGGCCTGTGTCTATAGTCCCAGCTATTCAGGCAGCTGAAGCGGAAGGATCATTTTGAGCCCATGAGTTCAAGACCAGCCTGGGCAACACAGAAAGGCCCCATTCAAAAAAGAAAGAAAAGGAAAAAGTTTGCTTTCTGGACTATATTCTTGATGGCTAGAATTCGTATAACACAGAGCCTTTTTTCTTATTTTAAAATAAGTAGTCAATGGAGGCAACAAAGAGCCCATCATTGAATAATTTGGGATCCGAAACCCCATGTGTCTGCCTTCCATCAGTTATTCCTAAGTCTGACTGCAAATTAGACACATTTTCAGACCATTTATTACTTTTTAAAATAACACATAGGGAACTTTAGAAATACACTGCTATCTGGAGCAACCCCCCAAAATTTCCAGGTTAACTGGCTTGTGGGGGGACTAGGGCATTAGTACTTTTTAAACACACCCTAGGTTTTCCTAATATCTAACTAAAGTTGACTTTAGAGACCACTGATCCACATCATTCAAATTCACTAAGTGGCAGAAGTACAAATTCTGCAGGTCTGGGAGGATATCTCTAATGAGTAAGTTAGCTTAGCAAAATGTTTAAATGCAAGCTCCGGAATTAGGTAACCTGGCTGTTCTCCTTACTAGTTGTTGGTCCTGGGCTATTTACTCAATCTCTCTGTACCTTAGTTTACTAATTTTCAAAAATTAGAGTAATAATAGTACATACCTGCCAGGGATGATGGTGCACACCTGTAATCCTAGCAACTCAGGAGGCTGAGTCAGGAGGGTCTCAAGTAATAGGCTAGCCTGGGCAAACTAGCAAGTCCCCATCTCAAAATAAACAATAAAAATTAGTGGGTATGCATGGCACTTGCCTAGCATGTATAGAGCCCCCTGGGTTCAATCCCCAGTACCACAAAGAAAAGCAAAAATAATAATTATAGTACATGTCTGATAAGGTTGTTACAAGGATTAACTGATACATCCTATGTTAAAGGCTTAGGACAACTGCTGCCATACCATGAGCATTCTGCTGTTATGTTAGATATTGTTATTTCTGTTGCTATTGTCATCATTTTGGAGTACAAATGTCCTGACAAAATTTATGATAGTGCAAAAGTATATGCTTACAGCTATTGTGTATTTTACTTTCAGTACAGTATTCCAAAAATTAGAAGAGATATACCAAAAATTACATGAGATATTCAACACTTTGTTGTAACATGGGCTTTGTTAGATGATTTCACTCATCTGTAGGCTAATGTAAGAGTTCTGAGCATACTTAGAGGTAGATGAAACTGAACTCTGATGTTCAGTAGGTGAGGTACATTAAATGCATTTTCAATTTATGACAGGTTTTCAGGACACAACCCCATTGTAAGTCAAGGAGCATCTGTGTAGTATTATTTCATCACAGTTCTGTTGATATGATCAAATGTTCCTTGCAGTACCCTCTTCATGTATCTAGTCTAAAATTGGGTTTCCTGAGTATGCATGGCATTTAAAGTAAAGGAGTAGTTTGACCTCAGAACACCAGTTTCCCCTCAATGCCTGCAAGAGAAAACATTTCCCTCAATGCCTGCAAGATTATTCCCATTTTTCTTGGGAATTATCCAGGTCCCTGAAGACTATAGAGGAATCCTTGAAATTAACTGAAAATAAAAAATCCAGCCCTGTGGGACCCTTCTAGAATGCACAGACTTGAGTCTCTTGACTCTAAACTAAAATGAACCCAGTTAACATGCTATGTATGTTTTACCCTCTCAGATATACTACCCCATCAGAGTAACTGGCAAGACGTCTGTTCAGAATGCCAAAGAGATGGAAAATGCTGCCATTGATCTTGAGGACAAGTGGCATCAAAGAGCACAGCAGTTAAAGGTTACTAACTAGATTGCATGTTAAGTGTGATACTGCTGAATATAAGTCATGCTTATCACTGAGTTCTTGGGGATTTATTTTTTGCCTGAGAATAGTTAGTTCACCACCATCCTTTATGGGGGAGACTGATGAGCCATTGGTTGGTCAGGCAGCCACCCCTAGCTGTTTCACCAAAGGTTCTTTTTCTCAGATGATCATCCTATCACTCTTTAAACATAGAGCTAAAGCTCTCACAGAAGGGAGTGCAGGGGGAAATGCAGAAAAATCAGGAAATCATAGTTCCAAAGTGTTGTCCAGTTCTGTGCTACCCCTTTATCTGGTTCCTTTGGGAGTTGGCAGTCACCCATTATCCCTAAGTGACTGGGTACATGGGAGTCTTCAGAGCCTTATAAACCCTCTTTTGCAGAATGTGAAAGCTTACCAGCTGGTAATTTATCATGTGGACAACTTTTTAGGCCATGGGTTTTGTTGTCAGTGTGCTATGTCACTAACAGACCAAATATGTTTGTGACCGTCCACAATGTCAGAATTCATTGAATAACAATTCACAGGCTGCACCACTCTCATCAGTGGCAGTTCACTGAATATTTGTAGGTCACCTGGTAGTCATAAGCCAGTCAATCACAGATTCTTTTTTTCCAGCCAATTCCAATTATAGATAATTTCTAATATCTATAACAACCAAGTCATATATATATATTATGGAAAGGATTAGAAAGGATTAAGGCAGACACAGGCATTTAGAAGGCTGAACTAAGGGCAAAGAAAACATTGTTTATTCCCAAAGAGTCACTGTAGGTGGTCAGATAAGATTACAAACCAGCCAGAGAACTTGTTCAGGGTGCAGAGCTGTCAAAACACAGAAGCCTACTCAGATGGACAGCAGTTTCACAGTGTCAGCTTGGGATGTCAGCTTCAAGTGGGACTTGCATGGTCATCCCAAGCAGGAGAAACCACACTGTGCTAAAGTCCAAGGACAGAGATTCAGAGGTTGTTGCTGTGGCAGTTTTCCTGGGCAAAGCTCATGACAAGCGACTAGGTGAAGGGATCAGGGTGCAGCTGTGTCCAGTCTCAGGGTACTCCTCCTTTATGGGTGTCAAGGGAGAGCATTGCATCATCAAGTGATCTGGTGTGTCCAATAGGCTTGTTTTTCCAATGAGTTTCATATGCCCATGCATCCATGTGCTTCTGACTAATTTGATAAGATCACAGGTGGTCATTCTCATTAGCACGAATTTATCAGTTTATGCCTTATCAGTTTGTGCTAGGCAGGTGGTGGCTATTCACTTATGCAAACAAGGTATAGAGTCATTCCACCTCAGCACTTAAACTCAAAATGGAGTAGCTGTTATGGCAAACTATTGCTTTACAAAACAGAGTAGCAAAGGTTTTGGCACAGCTTGAAAACTGCTGTCCTGTACATCATGGAGCAACTCAGAGCAGGGCACACCTCTGCTTTGAATCCATAAATGTGATTTGGGGGAAGATTTTTTTTGCAGTTTTCCACACTGACTATTCCTTTAGAATAAACAGAAAAAGCAGTAACAGCTGATTTTTTTTTTTCCTGAACCAGCTATGGAATTATGTGGAGTCACTGTTGGATCAGGTTTTATCCCCAATTAAGAAGGGATGAGCCCTTTGAAATCATGGAGCCTATAAAGCATATCAACATCATCAGATAAAACTATGTATGTAGTAATGGTAATAATAAAGATAATAAAGTTCATCCCAGCTTCAAAGAAGTTAGAAAAGAGGAGCAGCCTAAGTCATGTCTTTTTCTCCCTGTGGTCTCCAAGCTGTTCTTAAAGATATGAATCAATCCATCAAGCAGTCAGTCAAACAATAGGTTTCCCAGAGCTTTCTGAAAACTGATGCCAGGGGGCCGTACCCAGAAGTTGAGAGCTTGGGGACTGACTGTCTCCTGCAGTGAGATGGGGGTGCATGGATCTACCCAACAGCCCTGATAGAGAGCCAGCTAAGGGAGCGTGGCCAGCAGGATCCAGGGAACCAAGGCAGCACAAAAGGCATGTCCTGCATTATGGGCAATGGACTGGGTCAGGGTTTTCTGGTCCTTGACCTGTCATTTATTGGATGTATAATTTGGGGGCAAAACTCAACTTTCCCTGAAAGCCTTGTTTTTTTCATTGTGAAATGAAGAGTTGGAATAAATGACCTTTATGGTCCATTCCAGCTACAAAATGCTATGATTCTGAGACAACTGATTTCTAGTTATTTAAATTATTATAGAAAACATTTTTGAAGTATTGAAGATTATTGCAACACATAGCTTTCATCATTGTCACTAGGGAAAATGGTAGTTTTCTCTGCCAACAATAAAATCATCTAGGTAAAATGAGAATGCTTGAATCATGGCACAACTCTAAACAGAGGCAGGAAGAAGCTTTGTGTGGAAGCCTGTCGGAAGAAAGCCAGACAACGCTTTCTGTTCTGTGTGTACACTATGATTAATATGTTCACAACCTACTCTTGGACGAAGACAAAGTAGAGCAAAACGCCTAAAGATTGTTAGAAATCAAATGATGGTGACACAGAGTGGCCCAAGGGAAGTTGCCCTTTCTGCATTTAGAAAGGTCTGTTACAGCACTCTGCGTCTTGCATGCTGGCTGGCCCTCGCCATGCAGATACTCCTGGCTGCCTTTCTCTTTCCTCTTCGACTATCCAAGTTCAGTGCCTTCGTGTCTGTCCTCCCTCAAATGTCCTGCATGCCTCCCAGCTCCCCCACCCACTCCTCTGCCCACCTTGGCTCCTCTGGAGCCTGTTGTCTATACTGCTTACTCAGGGTGTTCATGGTTGCCATGTCTCGTACCTGTTGCCTGCTTTCTTTTACCTTCCATACTAGAAGCTTCTTATTTTCTGAGTTTATTTTGTCTTTTTTCAGGGGGACGGGGTTGGGGGACTGTAGATCAAATCCAGGGTTTGGGGCATGCAAGGCAAGTAATTTACCACTGAGCTACATCCCAGCCCTAGAAGCTCCTTAAAGGTTAGGATTATATCTTCCTTTGTGTCCCCTATGACAAGGCTTTCCCCAAAGCTGGTGCTCAATAAAAATTTACTAATTGATTAGTAAAAAACTAAAAGACACATTTAAAGGTCACTAAGTGCATCTCCAAGTGAAAATGGGCCTCTTTAAATGTTTTTCTTAAAGGATGGCTTTCAGAGAATCTACAGATCCTTCAGTAAACTCCCCCTAACAATGAATGACTCTAACTACTAAGAATATATCAAAATATTTCACACAGATATCTATTGAGTACCTGTTATATTCTAGGCACTATGGAATAAGTAGATTTTTAAAATTTTTATTTTTAGTTATTCATGACAATAGAATGTATTTTGACAGAATATACATACATAAAGTATAACATTTTATTTAGGTTCCCACTCTTGTGGTCGTACATGATGTGGAGTTACCCTGGTGTATATAAATACAAGGCTAGGAAAGCTATGTCCAATTAATCCGTCTTTCCTATTCTCCTCTCCCTCCTTTCTCTTCATTTCCCTTTCTCTACTCCAGTGGATTTCTATTATTCCCATCCCCAACTTCCCTTGTTTTGGGTTAGCATCCACAAATCATACAGAATGTTTAGCTTTTGTTTTTTGTGGATTGGCTTATTTCACTTAGCATGATATTCTTCATTCCCATCTATTTACTGGAAAATCCACAATTTCATTCTTCTTTATGGCTGAGTAATATTCTATTGTGTATATATACCACATTTTCTTTATTCATTCATCCATTGAAGGACACTTAGGATGTTTCTGTAGTTTGGCTATTGTGAATTGAGCTGCTATAAACATGGATGTGGTTGTATCACTGTAGTACACCAATTTTAAGATCTTTGGGTATAGACCGAGGGAGTGAGATAACTGGGTCAAATAGTGGTTCTATTCCAAGTTTCCTAAGGAGTCTCAATACTGCTTTCCATAGTGGTTGTACCAATTTGCAGTTCCACCAGCAGTGTATGAGAGTACCTTTTGCCCCACATCATCGCCCACATTTATTGTTATTTGTTTTCTTTATAACTGCCATTTCGGCTGGAATGAGATGGAATCTCAGTGTAGTTTTAATTTGCATTTCTCAAATTACTAGAGATGTTGAACATTTTTTATATTCTTTTGACCATATTTCTTCTACTGTGAAATATTTGTTCAGTTCCTTTGCCCATTTATTGATTGGGTTATTTATTTTTCTGGTGTTGGGTTTTTTTGAGTTCTTTGTATATCCTGGAAATTAATGCCTTATCTGAGTTACTGGTGGCGAAGATTTTCTCCCACTCTGTAGGATCTCTGTACACGTTCTTGATTGTTTCCTTTGCTGTGAAGAAGCTTTTCAGTTTGATACCATCCCATTTATTGATTCTTGATTTTATTTCTTGTGCTTTAGGATTCTTGTTGAGAAATTTGGTTCCCAAGCTGACATGTTGGAGAGTTGGACCTACTTTTTCTTCTAGTAAGTGCAGGGTCTCTGGTCTAATGCTTAGGTCTTTGATCCAGTTACAGTTAAGTTTGTGCAGGGTAAGATATAGGGGTTCAGTGTCACTTTATTACATACAGATTTCCAGTTTTCCCAGCACCATTTATTGAAGAGGCTATCTTTTCTCCACTGTATGTTTATGGTGCCTTTGTCTAGGAAGAGATAACTGTATTTGTGTGGGTGTGTCTCTGTGTCTTCTATTCTGTTTCATTGGTCTTCATGTCTGTTTTCACACAAAGGATTGCTTTGGCTATTCTGAGAGTATTTTTCCAAATGAATTTCATGATTGCTTTTTTTATTTCCATGAATAACATCATTGGGATCTTTATAGGAATTACATTAAATCTTTATAGCACTTTGGTAGTATGGCCATTTTGATAATATTGATTCTGCCTGAGATAGGTGGTTTTAAAACCAACCAAATAACAAATTTAAAAACAAAAAACTTCAAAAAATAAATAACTAAAACATAAGGAAAGATACTTTTTCTAAATATCTCCTCCCC